ATTAAATCTCAGGATACGGAAGATCCCTTTGGCATTTGTCACGTTATTTCATCATTGGTGCCGGTGAGATACTTGATTACCTCTTAAAAAATAAGTATGCTGCCTTACAGTCCACTCCATCCTACTATACAGTTGTAGAAATTGATCCTTGCAGAAAGATGGTAAAAAGAGATTGCACGTTTTTTACCACAGAGGTCTTCGCAGCATTGCTCATGTGTGGTGGGATCACCGTGTAAGCTCTGCTGGGGTCAGATGTAGGGTAGTGGTTTATGATTATTATTAGTAGTATTAAAACGAAACGTAGTATGGTGAGGATATCAAGAAATGCGCCACACAAAAGCTCAATACGAATAGAATGATTGAAAAGGCAGTCCAATAAGATGCACTCAAAACAAAACATTTACTACTTCTTGACAGCAGAAGATAAGAAGAAGCTACACTATGATCACCGCTGGTTTCGATTCTGAACAATATCCGATAACACCTCAAGCCACTACTGAGTTGCGTGATCTCTCGGACCCCGTCCGACGCAGGAAGTCGTGATGCACCAACAGATACTAATTAGGTACAACCATCCTTCATTCCACAGCACCACTTCACACACAGATCATCCCCGCTTCTTCCATCCAGTCCGAGAGCTAGTAAACAGTGAACGGGATGACATGTATAACACATATCCAAACGACCGAAGCCGGAGTTTCCAGATGACTCCACTTATCGAATGACGATCTCCATCGTGCCGGAACATGCTGTCGTATCTCAGAATTACCTACATAGTGTTGCCACCAGACACGAGCAATCCTACGGAGACAGAGATGGTCAAACACAGAGGTTAATTGCATATCCACAGCTTGGAGATGTCAGGTTTCACAGGCGTAGAGTAGAAACTGCTCTCACCGAAGCGTTGTAAATCCGACCTTTTACAGTCAGACTAAGGTCGCGACGGTGCCAAAGGTGGTCCACACTGGCGTATGCCACTCTGGCCTTTGATATGCGGATGGAAATCTCGTCACTCACTCCTCCACCAGAAATCACAAAACTACTCAGATACACGAACTTTTCAACCACTTCCAAAGGCTGACCACCAAGGGTGAGCACAGGCACAGGCTCCTGCGAATCTTGCGGAAGTATTTATCAGTTCGATGGTACAAAGCGCATACCATACTTACGGACACTAATCGCCAACTGATATGGTGTGGTTTGAGTAGCCTGTGTATTCTCGCACAGTAAGACGATATCGTCTGCATATTTGAGGTGGAAAAGACCGTCTCTGAGTAGTAGACTTGTACCATTATCACGTTCCCCCTTCACAGCTGTCTCAAGAATCTCGTCGATAGCAAAGTCAAAGAGGAATGGAGAAATCGGTCAACCCTGCCTAACCTCACCACTGATTTGCAACAATTGAGACAGGTGGTTGTTTGCCCTCACTACCTGAGATGTTATTATGTAGGGCTCTCAATAATAAATTTCTCAGGCACTCCCCTTCAACAGACAATTGCAGAGAACAGCTCTGTCCAACGAATCGAAGGCAGCCCTAATGTCAAGAAACGCAACGATTTTTGGCCTGGAATACACGTGATGATGTCGAGGCATCTGAAGGAGGATAAACACATGATCAATGCATCCACGACCTGGACGAAATTCACCTGCCCCTGGCGAATCATTTTCTCATGCGTTTCGCAAAGTATGATAGCAGCCAATATTCTCGACACGACTGCTAACAGACTAATACCGCGTTGATTGTCACATACATTACGTAGCCCTCTTTAAAAGTGGGCACAACGATGGCTTGATTTCAGAGTGATGGAACCCTCCCAGTCTGCCATACCTTCTCAAACAATCTAGTCAGTTCCTTGAGTGCAGTGCTTCCTCCATCTCCAAAAAAATGACCTGCGGGTACGCTGTCTGGGTCGGATTCCTTATGACGTTTCAGAACTTGGAGTTCCTTATTGACCTGCTCTCCGTTAGGTGGGTCAGTTTTGACTGACCGTGGAGCACGATACACTACAGCTTAAAGCGCTGAAGCCGTTGGCTAGCTAAACTGCTTTTTCAGTGACTCCGCCTAGCTTTTCAGGGCTCTTTAAAGATTCTTTATCTGCGTGCCATCTACCTCAAAAATTATCTCACTGACACCAGGATTCTTGCTCGGATGAGCTAAAACAGCTTCCGACCATTGCCAGATTCAGCTGCTGCTTCCATCTCATTCACTAGTTCTGACTACCAAGTCTCGCGTTCATTGTGTAAGGCTTGTGTAATCTTTCGCGTAAGAGATTTACGCGGACCACTGTACTGGCTATGCGCCGGGATGGTCCGACGGGAGTCAAGAAGTTCCAGGGAGCTGGCAGAGGCCCATTGCTTATTAGCGGGACGTTTCTTCAAGACGAAAGTGGCTTCATTTTGCCATTTTCATGTCTTGCAAGTACAGCCAATATTCGTCTGCACTTTCTGGAGGATCAATAGCTAGTCTTAAATCTGGCTCGAATTTGTATTTAGCTGCAATGTTAGGTGGAACTAATATGCTTGCATCGATCTACTTAAGACGACAATTTTGATGATCACCAAAACGCAAGACGAGTTTATCAGAGTCCAGACAAATACTCCATATGGAGCGGCAGTCCTGTATACACCCACGCCATCGGTAGCTGATTGCAGTAGGACCTATTTTAGTCTAGGTTTGAGTGGCAAACGGAAGACGCTAAGTAGCACAACGGTGATGTCTGTGCGGGAAGTTGGTGCTGACTAGAAATGGGTTGTGATCTGCTCAAAACTGCAAAAAGTGACCCCATTATTCGACCTGTGACCAGCTAATCCCCATTGGCCACCTAAACGACTCTTCTCTGAGCCTAGACATCTGACCTTCGCAGCAGCTAACACCACGCTAACTGTCGAGCGCACTTGGTTGAGGTCACTCAGTGGATGATAGAATTCATCTTGGCTCCATTCTGTCAGAGCATAGCCAGAGATGACAAAGAGACATCGTTTCTCTTGTCGGTTACTTCTTACTCGAGTTGAACCCTGTAGCCTAGCAAGATACAGACGAATGTTGGTGGGAATCCAGTCAAGTAGTGCAGCTTTGGTTCGAGTGCTTAGTGCGACACCAGCGATACCGGTAGCCGACCCACAAGGTCCCCGAATAAACGCACATAAAACATACATTTCAAACTGACAGATGGGGAACTAATGCGAAGCATTTCAGTGGGATCTTGTAAGTGGTTCTCTGAGATGCAACCTACACCAATAGTGAGGCTTTCCAGTGTCCTAGCCAAACTTGCCTGTTGTCTGATCTGCATCAAGGTGCAAACGTTGAAGTTGGTGAGCTTAAACGGTATACGTAGTTTCGGGATAACTTTGTCAGGTGTTACACTGGAGGATAGCTCTTAGGGGTCAGTTGTTCAACGACTCAATGGTACAGACAGATTAGAAGTCTAAGCAGTGGTGAGCAGCTGAGTGAAGACAAAGACAAAAGCGAAAATGGTAATAATAAGAAAATACAGTTCATATGTAAGAAGCAGTATAATAGGAATAAATTGAGTAATCGGTTAAAACGTTCGTAGTACGAAGAGCTTGAGTATTCTCAGAAAAATTGATTAGTAGCTTCGAAATCTTCACTTTAAATTGTAAATTCATACTTTGTGTGAGGGCTAGGATACTTACTACCCGGGCTCCCAGACCGAAACAGGTGGTTGTCTTAGTGGATCGCTCCCCGAACCTTTGACTTGAAGTCTGATCCATATGGCAGTGGAGCAACACCTGGAGTTGCATTCCCATAGTTGCCGGTAACCAAAATAGGTTCATACTCCGTTCGTTCCATTTGGAACCTGGAGCCCATAAACACCATTGTTTTGGAATCAGGATTTTCCAACTCCTTTGGGTAGAACTCAGTATCGACCAATCCGGTGATAAACGCCGGACATTCGCTTGCTCCTTTTCACGTTTGTGAAAACACCCTCGCCACGTGGAGGCAGGGAATAGGACTTCTCTGACAGGCTATGAACGTGTACCAGCTCATTTGGGGGCTGTAGGGTATTACGCAAGTAAATCGACGAGGTTATAAACCTACACCGAGTAAGGTGGATTGGAAATGAGTTGTGTATGCTCTGATGTGCAATGCTAGACAGAATAGGATTTTGTTGGAAGAAGGCCTAGGGTGCCTTAACCAAGATATAACACCAGCCAATGAAGTCTTCATCTGTTTGTCCGGGCTGTGTTGGTTGCTTAACTGGATCCTCAAGATAATCAGGATTATTAATTAGGGAACCTCAGTGACACGTCTAAAAGTCGGTCTGAATGATCACTCTTTGACGTCTTCGAAACTTTGAGCACTTTCACAAATCATGTTCTTAAGTTCTTTCTCCTCCTAAACACTTTCGTCTACCTTAAAATCACTGTTCCCGTCCACTTCTCACGCAACTGTCAAGTGTAGCAACTTGAACCGATGCACTTCTCTACGAAGTTGTATGCTGATTTTATCTATCTGCTTGTTTGTATAATTATATTTTAGGAATCAGATGTTTTGTACCGTTGCACCACCGTATAATTGGTGTATCAGGGTAGCATCGTTAGCTGCATAAATATCCACCAAACAGAGGCTTTATGCTTACTACTTGTTTTCACTTTGGATTGTATTCATCAGGGTATTCATATTTTGAGTGCAGTGCATATGAAAGTTATAAGTGTATTTGTTTGTTCTGAGTTGTCTTGATTACTACCTTACTACCCAGATTGGGGAAAGGTACTGAAAAGACTGATTGGCAAGGGGTAAACGGAGTTTTTATCATATCATATGGTTCATTGGTCACTTCTCTTTTAGCCATATTTGTGGACATCGACATTTTTAATACAAGGAGACAGTTTATTTTATGACATTCTAGCTACCCTTAAATTGATTGTGTATTGTCCCAGTTTTTTATAATCCTATGGGTTTAAAATAATAACTAACGGATTATTTTTCATTTACGTAGCAAGTTTTTATTAAACTTAGTGTTCTTATCTTTAAATAGCTCAACTTCTGATCCATTCCAAGAAAATTTCTATCCCAATATTCTATCTACGTCTAATCTAAATCACAGTAATAAGACAAGTGCAGATGTCCCTTGGGTGTCTGGTTTACCCACTATTTCATCTATCGCTGATGGTTTGAAACAAGCTGTTGTTGATCGTGATTGCATTTCCTCAAATTTTTGTTCAAATTTGGATGCCCTGTCTTCGAATTCACGCTTTGACAACTTAACTTATTCACATGATGATATCAGATGTCATGGCCTGTCAGGGAATGTTTTGACGTCAACTGAAAACATTCTGTGTGATGAGAATAGTGGTGAAATCCATTCTAGACTATCACAAAACTACCAGTTTTAACTCCATGTAGTCCTGACATGCAAGCTGCTGATATACTTGTTCACTATGCAGTTAGGGAAAATCACAGCGGTGTTCACTTGAATGGTTCATGTAGCGAAAGTCTTGTAGATAGTTTAGTGGCATCGTCGTCTAGTTCAAGATTATGTACAAATGATTCGTCTAATCTGGGGATCAGAAAGGCTCTCAATGAACTTTACTCTTCGGTTTGTCCCACTTTGTCTGGTGGTGGAGGATGCAGGATTTTAACACCTGTTTTATCCTCAGTGCCGGAATCATTAACCTCAAGTGACAATGCTTGTTGTGAAAATGGACAAAAGAATCCTGTTCGTCTCTATGTTGGCCATCAGTCAAATACATCTATGGACTGTTCAAATCACTTATTAGATAATCACCTGAACCCAAATTCAATTGCTAGTCAATCGCCTCGCTCTTCAGTCACTCACAATGGTGACAGTATGTTGAACAGAAATGATGTACTTCTATCACACTCGTCCGATTCTGTAAGTTCTACTTTTCAAATTCCAAATGTTATTTCTTCGCGCTTGTGTCAAAAAATAATGGACTGATATCTGACACACTGAGTTTTCATGCTGAGTGAATAACTGTGTTGACAAAGTTTTTTTCTGAGCTTTTTCTGTCTCAGTCGAGGCTTGACTAAATTTCACAACTATTTGCATTTAGTAGTCGTTTGCCATGATTTCGAAGTATAAGGGGTTGGGCGGTCATTATTTCTCCATTTTCACGATGGCCAAGAAACTGATTTCGTTTATAGACATTTGGATACAACGTATTTAAAATTGACTGAATAAATTATTATTTTGGTGAAGACTTCATCCCTCAACCGAATATCCTCGCGATGAATACTGGATTTGACCCATGTTTGGAATACGTTGCATTCAGATGAAGATATGTTTTTCAATCAATTTATTTAAACAAAAACTACGAAAAGCATCAAGAGATGCACCACACTACGTAATATAAGAAAAATATGAAGCTAAAAAGAGATATAGGGATAGTACAAGGAACTTTATTACACACTTTGCATGGAAAAAATAAGAAAACAACACGACGACCATCAGTTCATTTCTAAATCATATCTGTCATCGTCTTAAACCACTGAGTCCCATGATCCCTGTGATTAGCTAGGAAGTCTTGAGGTACTAACCGATGTCGACCCACAAAGAAATACCCTTCATCTGACGACATATTGAGTACTGATCATTTCTCCGCTTCTTCCACTCAGTTCCAGGGCTAGAAAATATTGAACAGTACGAGGCCACTAAGATCACAATTAAAGCATGTTCAACCCGGTGTTTTAAAGTGGAAATCATCGTTGTTGGTCCTTTAGCAGAGAGTTCTGAAACGCCTCCAAAGATACTTTTCTTAGCTGCAACTCTCTTTTTTGAGCACTCGGACGTAAGTAATTGGTTCTCAGGTTCAAATTTACCTTGTACCTGCTTAGATTTGAGAAACCAGGCGGTATTATAACTTAATACGCTAAACTGTACCGTATAAACAAGTTTCATTATTTATTATTATGCCTTTCTAATTGACTAAGCTTCCCTACCTGAACCTAAAAATCATCTACCAGTGCGAAGATTTGTTATTTCTTAACGAAATTGACGGCTTTTGGTAAAACTGATGATGTAGTCAACTAGTCCGTAAGTAAGGACTAGAAATAGGTCACAGGGCTTCCTAGTTCTAATATTTCCAAGCAACCAGAGGAAAAAGTCATTTCCAACTGAAATGCAGTGGAGAAAAATATGGCTTTGTCTTAGAAATTTATGTTATCTTTGGAGTAACTATCTTGTCGAATCTCCAGACGCTCAAGAAGTGAGTTTCTCAAACTCATTCCATTGGCCAAGTGAAAAACCATAATCAAAAACCGTGAACATTCATAATCCCAGATTTCAGAGTTTTGACAGGTGAGATCTGTTGTTTGTTTTTCCGTAGGGTCCGAACACAGAAAGTGCCAGTGTAGTATTGACAGCGTAGTTTCGAGGGGCTAAAAACGGCACTCTGCTAACTTGTAATGTTAGTAATTATTGGAAAGTGAGAAGCTGAGAAGAAAGTTTAGAACTGGAATATATCTCGAAGTTTAGCAATTACGCAAAGGCTAAGGAATAACTTATGGTTATATGATTGCCATGTGCTTTTTTGCTAGCTGACTATATCGTTGAAGTTGTTGTCGTTGCGAAGCACCCCAAAAATAAAGTGACTTTGTTTACATGATCGTAAAGTCTAAAAGACAAGTGATTCTAGTTGATCACATTAGCTCTTTGTGGATATGTTTTTTTGCTCAGACGGTAAACATCAACGTTTGACCTAGCTCTTTAGTGGTTAGCACTTTACCCGACTTTTAAGCACATCGAGATACAAGCTAGTAAGACGAAGAAATAAAAATAATATAGTCCAGAGTTGCGAAGAAGATAACGTAAAGAGGGAATGAATAAAGCCGACCACGAAAAGTTGTATTAATGCTAAAGTGAAAATAAGACTGTTTGTGTACATTATAGCTTCCTGTATGTTATTACAAAGGATGAAACCATTATGTAGGCACATGACCTTTGTATTTCAGATCAACAGAGAAAAATACTTTGAAAACTTGTGTATTTTTCCGATGCATCTTCCTCGTATCAGTTATGCTTTTCGTCATTCTTGTTGTTTGATTTCCCTGTTTTATGTCAACCTAACCAACTGCATTCTTTTTCATTTTATGTACGAAGCACTCCAATGGTATATCTGACAATGGTGATACCCTCAGTCAACAGTTCGATGGAATGTATTGTGCTTTGGGTAATCATTTTTCTCTTCCCTTAAGTGAAGCGGATAAGCCACGGAGATCTTCATTGTTGATTCAACCGTGTACTGGTTTTGCGACAACCAGTCAGTTAGTTTCATGTACTAATCCTGTATGTGATACCTTTCTGGATGCACACATGTTACAGAGTTTAAGGTCTCCTGGAGTTCCCAGTACTAATGTAAAACAAGTGACGACTAATTCTATATATAATCTCACATCAATTCCTTCATTTCTGTGTAATGAAAACAGTGATGAACATGATCCAGGAAATACCTATTTTCGGCAGTTATCAAGTTCAAAGTCAGAAACAATTGACATGACTTCTTTCCCAGCTGTGACTAGTTGCCTAAATGCTTTTCCTGTCGAACCACTATCCCTAGTAACTCATTCAAACTATCTCAAAAAACCCAAACGTCAGGGTGTAGTAAATAAAAAATCGCGTACCAATACATCCAACAGAAGTTCCTGTCTACCATCTGTTTGTGACAGTAGTACAGACAGAATTCCTGTCCAGGATACGTTCAGTGAGTCTAGTAAGGGTCATGCAAAGCGATCACGTAATTTGACGGGACGTGGAAGCTTAACTTTTCCTGGTAGAATTTCTCGTAGTGGCTGTAATAATGAAGATTATCCCCTTGTTAACGAGCAGTCATATTTTGCAGATTCCGCCAAGCGCTTACTTATCAAATCTGAATCCTTGATGGCCGATGATATAGACGATGCTAGTGATCATTCAGAATCACTGAGTGCTGGAACTGGCTGCGCGGTAAGGAATAATACACCCGCATCATCTTTAGATGAAGTTGAACAGCATCACCTAAAATTGGAAAGGAAACGTGCTCGTAATCGTGTTGCTGCACGTCGTTGCCGAGAACGAAAGTTATCCCTCATCAGATCATTGGAAAACCAAGTGGCTGAGCGTGATGCGCAAGTGAGAAGTCTAGAGGATACACTTGCTCGATATAGAGCTGAAGGTGAACGATTACGATTACACATCGAAATGTTAGCTCGTTCATATCCTAATCTCAAGGCTGAATTATATCGATTTCCATTCCTATTTCAACTACCTTCATCTCAGCAACATACTCAGTCACAACAGCCATCTTCTAATCAAACTACTCCAATAAAAGACGAACTTCCAGATACATCGTCATCGCATTTCACTTGAAAAGTTGGAGAAATATAAGCAGACCGTTGCTATTTTTATTGGTTCGTTACATCGTCGTCAAAATTTCTACTTCACATTTGTTTTTGTTTTCGTAATGGCATTTTATTCACAGGCCATATTTTCTCATTACTTTTTGTCATACTGATTTCGATACAATTTTTTAATTTTTTTATACTCTTTTTGTGTTAAAATGATGAGTAGACCACATGCAGGACATAAATACATACACTTCCACATATGAATTCATCTATCTCATCTAATTTTTTAAAACTAATTATCCGTACTCGATGAAGATACTAGGCACATCGTTTTCTCTCTCTCTTCATATATGTATTCTGTTTTTCCTGTTTCATTTCTTATAATCATAACATTTATGGAACCGGTTATATACATTTAGAATGAGTTGCCTTACAGGTCGTGTAATCACTCTGTGCAAATGAGGATGATTGGTGTTATTTATGCTGCTGGTGTTGCAGATGATATGATGATGATGGTTTTCGCGCCAGTTTGTGCGCCTTTCTGACTTTTAGGTTTTTCGCTTTAATAGTTCGCATCATCGTTATCAATAAATTTGACTGGAATTTTTTAAAATAATCTTGATGAAGTATTGTCTATTTTTTCTCCTTTTCTACAGTACTGTTTTTGTCTACTCACTTTGTTGTTTTTTGTATGTTGAATACGATAATATGAAGTTTGGGAAATTTACTGCTCATATCTATTCTCCCTTTAAAAGTAAATTACTCTTTTCTATCAAGTTTGGCCCTTTTTTCTGATCATTTCTTTTATTCGCCTTTTTTATGATACATGCCCAAACACAGAATTGCCTTTATTTATATACAGTGCAAGCAAAATGCTATCTGAAATAACCTCTTTTCTTGGAGGTTTCAGTCAACCCGGTTCAGCAATATAACACAAAGAAACACTTCCCCACCACAGATCCTCCATTTTCTTAGTGTATTGAACATTTTCAGCCTTCTCCCTACTTGAGAATTTCGCTCATGCCTTTTTGTTGCCGTCGGTTTGTTAAAAGTGCTACTCTTTCTAAGTTATTTTTTCTTTGTGTGCAATTAATTCTTAAACTATTTTGTATTTGTGCTATGTCCACTGTTTATATTCCGTGCACACAGACATTTATGTTTGAGCTTATAGTTATCATTAAGCGCAACGAAAAAACAAACTCTGCACTTCCCCCCTTAGCTTGCATCGAACATCAATGTGCCTTCTGTGTTAGGGTGATGAAGTTTTGTTCGAAAACATTCAGGCAATGCATCTTATGCATGGTATGTCTATTGTTATGCATTTATACTTCCGAAAATGTTTTTTATTCAGAAGTAGGCAGGTGTAAACTTTTTTTCTGGTATATAGCGCCCTTTATACATACATAAACATCAGATTATTGCTTTCACTAGTTAGTCCAAGCCTTTTTGCAAATATAAGTATCCTCATTCTGCTCTTTTTTCATGCCTCCTAGTTCATCTTTCGTCCCCTTATTGATTCGATCATCATTTTGTTACTTGACTCACCTTTCTTCAGTTATCCTATCTGTATCTTTCTGGGATGGAAACTAAACTTCACTATGGAATCAGTGTTAAGCCGCATAACTCTTATCTTGCGTATGAATTTACTCTTTCTTACTGAACAGAAGAAAGCGAATAAAACCTTTTGATTACTTATTCTTTCTTATCGTTACCACTATATTATATTTAATATTTTATCAGTAAATTTACAATTTCCACATGAGTCTTTGAGGTGATCCACATGCTTTTCTTTTCGTCTCTATCATGTGGGATCGGACATAAAAACATGAATCGATTGGTTGATTTGTGAAGTGTAAATATCCAGTTACTATTATTTAATAGTTTTAATGATACTATTGCTACTGCTACCATTGTTCCTAATCTTTCGCTACTCAATTTTTGTTTTACAACTTTTGATATTTAATTAGAAATTCAATAAACTTGTGCAAATCACTGGTCTTTATTTTGGGGAGGAAAGTGTTAATTTGTTCTTGTGATGCTATTTTGAGACTCAGAACTTCAAAAATAGTATTGAGAGTTTTATTACCCCCATTCAGAAACTATCTTTTCATTACTGGATCTCATTGTTTATTGGATTTAGAGTAGTATTCTCTTGAAATGGGTGATGATTATGAATTAGGTTCTTAGTTGTTGGGAGGTGAATTACTATCAGTAATTTGATCTTCCTGAGCAGCAAAGAAGATAGACTGTTTCACCTCGTCATAACTGTAGTTCATAGGATGTAGGTTTCCTCTTGTGTGAATATTTTCGTGTTCCACGCTGCTCCTCGATTTGTATACAGTATTAGAGGAAAGGCGATGGTTAGTGACCTGACAGTTTTCGGTGATACTGTTTTCTTTAAGCTGTACAGTTTAATCGGAAGGTGTCATTGTTGTCCCTAGAATAGCATATATCAGTTCTGAGCTGTGTTGGTTCAATATTGTTGAGGTCTAAAATATATCTTGTGTATGTGGGCGTCGACATAGTTAATATAATGAATCTATACAGTAAGCATTTAATGTTACATATCAATTCGTCCAAAATTGACTTAGTTTTATGTTCTCTTAGTAGATAAAATTGCTTCCAAATGTTTTAAGTGTACTTTCATTCAGATCAGGATTAGTTAAAATTCAGATGTACTTAATAGCTGGCCATATTATGGACTAGTAGCTTAGAGATTGATTCCTTTGCGTATTTCTCTTTTATAATCAGTAGTTGTTTCCAACATTCATTGGACTTTACATTTTATTTATTTCATAGCTTGTCAAATTTTTACTGAAGTGTTTAAACGCCCTTCATTTGTTGATTGGTTCACTACCAAAAATAGAGCGGAAAATGTTCTATTCAAGTTGCTCTTGGGTCTCAGAAACAATCTCAAAGGAATTTTTAAAATCATATTTCTTTAATTCACTGGCACAGGTACGTAAGAAGTTGTAGTTTCAGTGGTCCATTGTAAATCATTTTGATCACTGACAGTTCTAGTCGACAATTAAAAGAAATACAGGACTACTTTGAATTTCTTTTGAAGTTCAGTACTGTGATTTTCTTGAGGGGGAATTCCTGAGTGACAGGTTCGGATATCAGATGGGACATGATTTCCCCCAAGACAGCAGATTTACTTTACTGATGAATATCAAGCAGTAAACTTGTTCTTGCGGTTTCTTGCCAGTTAAGTCACACGAGCATTTTGTGCCCATCATGTTTCTCTTCGCTCACAACAGGCTGAAATGTGTAATTGAAAAAGCCAACAGCTCGTGCCTTAAGTGAACAAATGGAACGAGAAATGCGTGTGTTTTGTGGATTTCAGACAGCTAACGGCGTCTTCGAATCGAAATCAGGTATCAAGCCAATGGTAGCAGATACATGATCACATATAGGAAACCATACTGTGTCAATTAAAGATAATAGGTGGCAGGAAAAAGCGGTCATTATCAAGCAGAAACAATACCAGTTCAAACAAATGCCCTTTTCGCTCGTATGCATACCGTTTACTTCTAGAAGATTGGTAACTTTATGGCTTTAAAATTTAAACGAGATAGAAGTGTTACATAGTATATAGTCTCTCTGGAAAAAAACATTTCAAAGCTACTCTAAGACCCATAGGGGTGTTTGGACTGCCTGTTAATAAAATGAAGTTGGAGATTGTTAAACGCAGTGTCACATTTTCGGGACGTAACTTGAGATATAGTGACATAAATCCATAGCCTAATAAGATTCTGGCCCTCAAGAACGTTCGGATTCCGAGCTCGAAGACGAAATTTCAGCAATTCCGAACAGCAGCTTTTTACATTCGGTTCATTAAATACTTCAATGCGATAGCAGCTTCATTGCATAAACTGCTTAACAATCCGAAATTCGTGTGAACTTAAGAAACGCACACGACATGTTAAGAAGCTCTTAGATAGCCTCGACGTTGATAGTACATGGGAAACCACTCACGGTCTTCACCGATGCTAGCGATGATTGGAATAGGTACCTTCTTACAACAAACTGAAGGAGAATTTGAATAAGTTTTGCAGTGTGTTGGCGTCTGCAGAGCAGGGGGATTCGATAGCGGGGAAGGAAGGCTTAGCAACAGTCTGAGGATTAAATTGCAACCGTATCTCAAAGACTTCATATTGAGACTGAGCACAAGTCCTGACAATGTCTACAGACAACATGAGACACCGATGAGGAAACTAGCACAGTGGACAGTGCATCAACAGAAGTAGAGTTTGTGACGAATCACATCCCGGGATGGAGACTAGTAGCGGGGAAAGCAGAGAAAGCGGCTGATCTGCTAGAGACTGCACACAGGGTTAACGCTGTGATATAGTACCCAATTATAGTGCTTTGCTATCATAAGTCGGACTCCACGATTAAAACATTGGTTTGAGCGATAACGGAAGAAATGCAGACAGATTAAAAGTTACTTTATGCAATGCATCCTGGAAAAAGGATGATGGAACTATGAGACCCAAATGTTTGCGATAAGAATTAATCCGGGAATGCCACCAGCTAGTGCACACAGAAGTAACGAGAACGAAAAATGTCTTGCTACAAGTACATATTGACCAGGAACGGTATTGGGAAGTTTTTGATTACCTGCCTGCAGTCCAAGTTGGTGAAAAGCGATTGATACATACGACAGTTACTTCATTCGATTTACGCAACGATAATTGATGACCTCTTTGCTAGGAGACGTGAGGGGATAATTTTCTCAGGAATCCGGTGGCAACCAGTACCAGTTGGTTATGACAAAGCACACGATAGGTTTGAGTGGTTGCCATTACGATTTTGCGACTTGTGTGAAATGGTGATAATTATTCGAAAGATTGTTTCAAACCACGGCGTACCTTAGAAGATATTGGCCAACGTTTCGAGAAAAAAGAATTCGCATCCTGCTTGCAACAGTTGGGTATCAAGAGAATAAGAACTACACCTAGTCGCCTTCAGACCAATGGGTCAACAGACAGGAATAAGCTTTCCCTAAAAGAACTGCTG